ATAATTTTAGAACTATAGATTCTTATAATTGGTTGTGCATAAATAGAATGTACAATCTTAAAAGTCAATAAATTTCCAGTTCTGGCCATTTTTTTTTTAGATCCCGAATAAGATGGATTGCGACGATATTCTATCTTGTACCTAAACATAGTGAAGGTGTTGATTCGTGGATTGGTAAGACTTATACGTGACGTAGAAACTATTACGGCACCTCGGAAATATTTCTGCATTGACTTTAATGTGAGATCGCCGAAAACACTTTTGTTAAATCCACAATAGTCTCCTATCTTATATAGTAAGACATATACGACATACCAGTAATAAACAAGACAAAAGTTTTAGATAATTCATATACCACCGTACAGTGTGAAATTATTTCGAGACGTGTATGTGCATTATTCTGAAATAAAGTATCAAAATTTTGAACCTGGTATGCGTGTATCAAATTCGCTAATACATGTTTTACCAAATGTGCATGATTCCGGGATGCGCATAAGCATTTCAAAGGCAATTTCAGAACAACAACGCTTGTGAGCGGTAGTATTTATAGCTGACCTAAATTTGTTAACTCGACTAAATTGAAATTTAAAAATATTAGTGGATGTGATTTCGCGATGACTATTTTACTGACAATTAAAAGTTGGGCTAATTTACTGTCAGAGATGGTCTGACTTTAAGTTAGTGTTGGTTAGAACTAAAAATCGGTGACATAACTATTAGTGAAATTGAATGAATCCCGTTGTGTTGTTGGTATGACGAGAATGAAATGTTATAGTTTCTTTCCAAGCTCTAACTCAATCCTAATGTTTTAAAAGTTTTTTTTGGTTCATATCACCCGCAGAAATAAGTATACGTATCATTTCACCGACAATCACTTCACCGACAATTAATTCACCGTCAAGTTCATTTCACCGACAATTAATTCAACGACAAGCTCATTTCACCGACAAGTTTTTTTATAAATTACACTAACCTTAACTCTAATTCTAGCCCGACCTTAACGACAATGACCAGAATTACTTTGTCTGTGAAATGAGCTTGTCAGTGAATTAATTGTCGGTGAACTAAGCTGTCGGTGAAGTGATTGTCGGTGAAATGAGAACCACCCCAGAAATAAGCATTTTCCATTAAACGGTCATAGGATCATTGGGAAAATTCCCCACTTTGTTGAAATAAACAATACGCTAGATATGAAAAACTAAAAATGAAAAGAATTCACACTCACAGAAAGTGACAAATGATTTTTTTATGCGATATTGCATAAGATTAATGTCTATGTATAAAGCTGCTAATCGGCAACGTATCTAAAAAATATTATGTAATAATCTATATTAAATAGATAAAGACATTACCTTTGAAACTTTATTATTAAATGCTAGTAACAAAGATGTAATGCTAAAAAATGTTATATATCGATCTTCTTTTACCATTCACTATTATTAGGGGGTCTCACTTACCGCATCACTTACTCTCGGATAATCACTTATAAAAATTTGTTTAAGTATAAATATTTTACCAATAGAAATTAATATCATCCATAAATTTGCCCAAAACAATAAAATTGAAATTTTGTTTGCTTCTTTTAAAATACCATAATATAGTAGGTAACTTGCTATGCA